ATCAATTTGGTTTTCACGAGAGACTCAACTGAATTTCTCGTTTATGATGTTCTACAACTGAATGTGCTGCACACAGGCCGACTCATGTTTCAGTTGGCACGATATTCGAGATATCGCAGTATATTTTCATAAAGGAAACTACTCACAGGGTTGCTGAAGAGTTTTCAGCAATTTGTGAGTAGTTTCCTTTATGAGAACCAAGTTTAGTTCATAAAAACAAACATTTGAATCGTGACATTCAGAGCCAATCACGGTACGATCATCATAGATACACTGGTAGAAGCAATCGGTAACAAGTCATGGAGCTAGGGGGATAGAAACATGTGGAAAGAATCTTCCCCGAAATAAGATTCAAACGTAACCGGTGCATACGTGACTCGTGCTCTGTTAGCGAAGTGGTTTCATCAACTTTTGTACCAATAATAATCGCAAAATGGGACTATTCAACACAGATTCCACCATAACAAGGGAAACAATGGTGATTATTGGGAACTCGGTGTCGTGCATTGACGATTTTTCTTCCGAAGGGTGATGAATCAGTGCTTAAACCGTATTCTTTAACGGACAACCTGTTTTAGTTTTCGTCAAACTTATAACTATTGTCTATCAAGGTCAACATATGCTTCAGTCCTGAGTGAATTTTATCAACCGCGCAAATTGGTCAGCGGATGCGCGGTCCACAGTATCATAGCTCGGTAGCTATGACCAAAAGTTCACATATCCGATCCCTCCACACCCGTTAGATGAAGTTCAACTTATCCCGATCCGACCACATTCCTAGTGAAGTTTTCCTCGAACGAACGAGGAACGAACTTCTTCATTCTGTGTTTCTTCTGGGGTTAACGAATCTGTCATCTTCTAAAATATTTTCAGGTGGACCAATCCGATATACGGATGACACAATTATCACTGTCGAGTCATTTCGACAGGCAAACAGGTTATTGGAGTGCGTGAGCCGTTGCCATAGTGATAATGAGCCTACAGTAGCATGTGAAATTCGACAAAACATTTCATCACTTCGATGGTCATCTAAAAAGCTGTTAAGGTAGTAAGTTATACGAGAAATACACTCATTTGCAAATCAATTTGGTTTTCACGAGAGACTCAACTGAATTTCTCGTTTATGATGTTCTACAACTGAATGTGCTGCACACAGGCCGACTCATGTTTCAGTTGGCACGATATTCGAGATATCGCAGTATATTTTCATGAAGGAAACTACTAACACGGTTGCTGAAGAGTTTTCAGCAACCTTGTGAGTAGTTTCGTTCATGAAAATAATAAGTTATACTTTCCATGAGCCAACGTTGGTTATTGACCGGTAGAATTTTGAACGGACGCCGTCTTTCGAAAGACCACCAAACCAAGACATTCACTCCCTATCACTAGACAATGAGCATCTGCTAAAATATATCGTCGGTTATTGGGCCGAAAACACCGTGAAAAAGAGAAGATCCCTCTGGCTCATAGCGCTGCTATTCGAAGGCGACAAGAACGACAGCATGTGACTAAGAGTATCCACTGTGCTTGTTGTAATTCTTCACAAAACCAGACGCTTCATGCTTAGATAATTTCAGTCCATCTTAGGTAAGTTTTACCTTCTTACATGCCCACCCTTTCCACACATTCCCAAAGGCTTTGCCATACGTACAAACAATGTCGGTTGCGTGTCATCTGCTGAAACGCAATCGGTACAACGAACCTAGGAGGTCCTCCGTCCTCACGAATCGACAGCATCATCATCTTCTATTGCAAATGACGGTTTCGGCTGCATTTGTGTAAACAGTCAGATTTTGTAGCTAGTCCAGTGTGGCTGGTTATCCCATTAAATCCCGCGGGTTAATTTTCCTCTACACGACCTCTGTTCGTATGTCTTCCCTCGCACAGTTGTGATCGATCCGATCGATATGGTCACGCATCTGGGCTGTTTAGCGTTCAAGGTGAATAAATGTGGGCGACCGACCGTAGCATCTTCTTGACGAAACACTACTCATAAGGTTGATGACAACTTTTCGACAGCGCACGACCGATTTCATCCTTCTTGGGGGCTGTTCAGCTAGGCGCAGTCCTCAAGTTGTGGGCTGTCTAAAAGTCTTCAGAATCCCCCTGAGTAAACTTCTGTCAGGAAAATACACTACGATATCTCGAATAGCGTATCAACTGAAACATGAGGCGACTTCTTTGCAATACTTCGTTCGAAGAATATCATAAACGAGAGATTCAGTTGGAATTCTTTCCTTCAAATGCTGCTATCAAGTCAAACAGCTAATTCCGCCAACTTCCTGTTTTACCCTTCATTGAATGGCCTTCATAAATGGGAGTGTCTGTTTACTAAAATCAAAGCACTGACATCAATTTGGGAATACAAAATTACAAACCATAGATAAACGCCTAGGAAATCCATTCGTTCTAGAACTAGCACCCTTTTGAACGCAGTACCAGATCTGTCGTACAGAACTGTATATACTGGATGAAATTATGCAACAGGTGACTGGAAACTTTTGATTCCTAAAAAATGCTATTTGTGTTGCACAGAATTCAACTAAAGTCTAGCACTGCTGGAGAATTTTTAGAGATGGTCACTGTTGACAAATTTGTGCGTAGATTGTCTCATATTTCTTCGTGAATGGCATGCAAACGGTACTAGCCGTCACAATGAGGCGAGTGGTAGATGTTTGATGAAGTTATGCAGAAAATCGTTCGAGCAGCGCTGATCAGTGAGTCTGAAGCGTTTCTCAGAAAACAGCCTTCCCCCAGTCTATGTGAGTTGATTCTGAATTCAGTGTACAACGAAGCTGTATAATCTGGCACCTGGGTGACCTACATCGTTGACATTCGTGCTACTACGGATTCGAGACAGTCACATGAGCCGTCATTGGTTAGCCAAAACCGACTGTGACTTGTCTACCGAATGAAATACCACAGGGAATACATAAGTCGCCACGAACAATTTTGTTAGTCCGAATAGCACACGTGGTGTTTGTGCACGCGCCAAAAATTCTATCACACGTGCAGGAAATCGCGATTCTCTGTCAACGTCTACATCTGGCTATTGAAACATCTACGAGTCTTTCCCCCTCAAGTTGTTCGTCCTGAAACGCGGAGGGTGGTAAGAACTGGTACACTGAAGCTGGATGGAGTCAGCTGTTTGGAAGGATCTTTTTTGCACACATATATAACTCGGTTAGTCAAAAACTCTCGTCCTGTATGCAAAGTCGTATGGTTCTGTTGAGTCCATTGGATTTTCTCACCTGCCGGACACCATCTTGAACCGTGTGGTCCATATAGCATGAGTGGAAAAATACATTTGAGGATGAACTCGAACCACCAACCTCTCGCCCGGTTCTTGTACCAGCTGAACTACCGCGGACGCGATTTGGGTCCACCTGTAGTTCTCCATACGTCTCCCTAATTGAATGACAGTTGATATCCCTCAGGACCGTCAGTAAGCCTCCCGTATCAAGGTACCCAAACAACCCTGAAGTGGATTGCTTTAAAGTAGACAAGGACTTGAAATGAGAAGCTCAGGTGAAGATAACATGGCTGAAAAGGCGCCTGGAGATGGACTCTGCAACCGACATCCCCCTTATCGGATGGTGGCTCGAACCCACCCTGAGGTGTCTCTGCTTATGTTGCATTGGACTACTCGTTTCAACATCTACTAAATTCCCGCCCACTTAAACAGCGTTCCTGACTCACACGTGCCGGAGTACGATGACCGGCCTGAGGATCTGTGTACAGTACTTAGTAGGTGTCCGCTGACGTACGATTAATCCATACTTCGGAGAGCCTTGACAAGCCGTTTCATGGAAACAAACCTATGAACTAAGTGTGGAATGGGAACTCTCTGAAAACCACTCCTATGTTAGCTGGCCTGAATTCATTGCTATAATCTGAGAAGATGGTTCATTCCTTGTTAGGAAAGCACCCCTTGTATTGCACCGTTTAAATTGTTTGCTGGAAGAGCAAAACTTTGCGCTCCGACGCATATTTGCAGCTTCCAGGTTAGAATTTTTTGTGACTTTTTTATTCTCAGTTTTATTCCACAAGGTATGTTTCCTTACGAAGACATATCGGTTGTCCTCGGGTGTTGGACCATATATTCACTCACAAGTGAGGTTGAACTGAGCAAGTCCCACTTCGTGAGATGATGTCAAATACATGGATGATGTGATCCTGCGTTGACCGCGCGATCATTTTTGGTCTCCTTCTAACTAAGGTTCGCAATGAATATTTTTCAGTCATTGCTGTGGATATGTGTGCGGATAGCCATTTCCATCCTAACTAGTTCTTCTCAGGAAATTTCTATTCGGAAGAGTACTATTCTTTCCACAAGGGTTACTGATTTCTTGGGAACGTACCAGCTAACATCGAAGATGTCCCGCCGTTTCCACTACTTTTTGACCGAAGAACATGCGACTGTAAGGTTTCATCCACACTATGTGATCCACCACTTCTCATGGATGAATGACATTCACCCGGAAGGAATTCTGGCCAGGCTTGCCATAGATACGCTGTGTTATAGGATCGTTTCAATCTCAAACGTCTCGACAACAGATTCTCGTATCGTTGTCCTGACACAATCGGTTAAGCAGTCCTATGTGCTCATTTGATCGAGATTGTCATCACAACCGGATTTGCTAAAGTCGATCAGTAACTCAGGAGGAGATATGTGTGATTGTACTGCGGATTGTTTATATGAACTGTCGCTACACTATGCAAGTTTTCCAATAGGACCGTGCACAACGGCCATCACACTAACAAAAACATCATATTGATGTCCGCTAAGTGTCTCTGTTTGCCTCACTCTGCAGTGGTCCCAATCGGCTCCGAGGAGGTCATTGGTCCGCGTTCAGTTAGATTGTTTATATATTGTTGTGCGCTCGTGTGTGCGCGTCAAGCACACGCCTCTCTGGTGGTCATTCGGTTTCAACTTGTACTGTTCATACTCACTCAAGCATCCTTTTCACGATCGCATCCGTTTTGTTCACTCAATCCAGGTCCCAGCGAAACAGGACAAGCTCAAAGTATACGACTTGCGACGAACTACACCAAGACAGTTGAAACAACAGCAGAATCGGAACACAGGAACCGATTCTCAAAAAAGTGCTCCAGTAAACGTGGTCGAGAAATCGACAACTGTTTTGTCCAAATTCGAGAAGCAGGCTTCAATCGAACAATTGGGACTTAATAAAAATCCGGGAGAATTTGCCTCAAGCCTCATTCGTAATGCGAGTTGCCGAATTCGGTCGACTTGGTCAAAACTAAAGCGCTCCAACAGTGGTCATTCTACTGCAGAAAAACCATCTTATCCTAAGGTAACCAGTCCAGGACCCCGCAGATCCTCAGATCCTTCAGCTGTTGTTCTGGAACGGGAAACTTTCAAAACAGATGATGAAATTCCAACTCCGAGTGGAATTGTAACCCCAAAGACGACGGCGCCGTGTACAAACGTAAGCGAAACTCGGAAACCAGTCACGAAATCGGATATGTACTTCGACAACAGAGATAATCAGCTCGCTAAAGAAGCTTCTTCCCTCCCGCCTGGGTGTAGTCAGTGGTCTACCAGGCTCGGTCCACCACCTCCTCCCCCTGTTTCCCCCACTCGGTCTGCACCGGCTCCTCGTGTGCTGCCAATTTTCCAAGGATTATATCATCCAGGGAAACCGGAACAACCTTCCACCCCTCCCGCCAATTATGACATCACTCACGAGTGGAAGTCACCCCCCTTGGGATCCGCATTTTGCTCACTGCCCGTTGGAGATTCGGACAATCTGAACTTACTGACTGACGATTGTGTCGATGTTGGAGAATTGGGTCGCATCAATTATCGAACGGGTAGTTTTATGGGTCGATATCCTCATCCCAGAGGTCAGCAAGCTAGCCAAGTCGTAAGCGCCCAACTTTATTTGCATCGCAACCTCACCCAAACTACACCATCCCGGCTCTCACCGAGTAGACCGTTGTTTCTCTCTCCTTACCAAGCATCGTCTTCCGGAAATACAACTAGGTCAGCTCCTTCACCCAGTCTCTGCTCAATGACCTCTGCCTCGATCCCAACTGTTCCAAATGCCAGTATGCTGCAGGCTACAGCGTATTTGAATTCCACGTTGCCTGACTCAGGGAGGATGCATGCTGTTGTAGCAAGTTCGCCCAAGACAGATTCGAATGCTCTGTCGTTTCAAGAACTTGATCCTGTGTTAGACCGTCTGCTATCTGATGTGTCCAGTATAGAAAATTATCGATCGGCACTGCGATATCAAGGTGAGCTGCATGTACATTACTATCCATTTGTTTCCACCATAATTTATCGCGTTTCGTGCCTAGAACGTGTTCTGCAAAGAATTAGCTATAGCAATCCTCGATTCCATCTAGTGAATTTCCTGACAGGTTTCAGACAACAGAACTTGATAATGACTTATACCGTCGGTTCATCTTCCTTTGAACTCGTTCTCCAGTTTTTCCTGACTGAAGATACTCCGATACACACATCTTGACTATCGCGCTATTCTGATTGAATAAGCTAATAAAATGTTTAAAGTTGGTGACTCATTTATCTGCAAATTGGTGTTTCAGTGCGACCTTTTCTTGTTGGATGAGAAAATAAACAACGTCACGTTGAATTTAGCTCAGACATGACAGGTTTTAACCAGCTAGGCAACGCACAAACACTACGGCCAATTGAGGCTGAAAGCAGTCCACTTGACGTCCGTGTCAGTACTTCAGAACTAACCCCATTCACCTTTTATACAAGTAGGTTCGAACCCAAGTTACCTTGGCTTGGTGCTCAGCAGGCCTATTAGAGGGATGGCTATATGTTAGGGCTGGGGATGAGCTTATCTACGAACTCAGTTTGGGAGGATTTATACTAACAGGTTTCTCACCCGAATAAATACTCTAATGTTCCCCCTAGTCAGTTCTTCGGATGCGACGATAGTTCAAAAGTTTTCCCACATCTCCACGCACAGGTCATACTTCTCGTCCACAAGATAGTAGGGATCGCACTGCCTTGACAAACGAGCTAACTGACGTTGACACTGCCGAAAGTTGGTAAAAGATGTCATGACCTTCTCGATCCGAGAGATGGTTCTGTCTTCAACAATTTTTCGGGGAACGGCATCCATCTGGTTCATCCACTCATCGTGAGGTATTCCTCCGATCCAGAACGGTGTGGTACTAGTCCTCTGCCGAAGATGGTCCGTTTTAGGAGGTATCACACACTAAATCATCCGTAACAAGAAATGGTGTCTTTTCTGGGCTGTGTCTGTCGAGAATTATGGTCCACCTACTGCACATAAAATGAGCCGCGCATACGGAGCTAAGGGGGCACGCTTTAGTTGTTGAACTCCCCTCTCCAGCAGGTTTCTACATTTCCTTACTTCCGTTACTGTCCTTGAAGACATTTCACAATGTTTTAATCCCTTACAAATCGCGTATGCACGCTAAAAAGTGCACAGCTTCGATGAATTTTCCGTGTGATTTCACACGCTCTGGTGAATTTCGAGTGTGCTTATTTTGCTGCATAATGAGGGTACTGGGGTGGTTCGGAACGCCCGACTTTGAGTTTCTGATGTTCAGTCAGGTCCAGTTCAGGGTACTGCACATCTCCAAGACCTTTCCGAACTTGGTTACCAGTCCTTGGGAAATCTGACAAACAAATGGGGAATACACCTTGTCAGTCTTTCAATCCTCAAGGATTACGGGCATTTGTATTTCAGGGTGCTTGCGATATTATATGACCCAGCTTTGATTCCCATCTATCGTGAGGTAGATCGACTTTAAGAGCAACAAGCGCAGGGGGTAGTAATTGTTTGCTGTATGCGCAGGCGGCGATTACGTGTTACTGCGATCTTTCGACGATCGCTTTAGCACAGCGGGATGGCCGGGCAGTTGTCCTGACTGTTCTTTTACTGTATTTAACTGGGCAAAATTTCCTTACTGCGCACTGTTTTAGATCGACGTTCATGATGGAACAGGATCTATGACTACTGATTTTTGACCAGATCGATAACATCTCATGATACTGAATATTTTTTCACCTCATGAGGGGTCAGGCTCTTCAAATGACCTTGTTTACTGAATGGTACCTGAAAAGCGTAAAAGCCCGTTTATTTTTGTAACCACCGACGGGCCACTCAAAGAGCGGGACACAACTTGTCATCTAATTGCCGAATCCGTCTAACAAGTACTGTATCATGCCATAAATACGTACGTCAGTTGGTGATTCACTAGTACGTCTTGCAGAATGACTGACGCGTAGAGGGTACAATATTAGAAGTTCTGTGCAAGCCTCAACCAGATTAGCACACTCAAAGAGCTCCATTTCCCCAACCATACCTTTCAAGACTCCAGAAACAAGAAAGTAGCATCAAGACTTTGTAGCGATCTTTTTCACCTTAGTTCACTGAGGACTCGATTCGTTGTGCTTTTTCAATGTAGAAGATGGACAGTGGTCATTCTCATGTCCAGCTTACACCGAACTTCTTGTGTAGGAAAGTGATTGAAATGATTACGCAATACGGTGCGATACTGAAGTTGTTGGAAGCGTACTAGTTTGCGATAGACATGAGTCTGGAAGAAACGATGCTGCCAATTGTGCGTCGAGTTTACTCAGCCAAACACCACCGAGTATAGACTTTTTAAAGGAACAAATAACCGTGCCTTGGTCCTTTTTTTCGAACAAAGTTTGAAGACATTTATTTGATGCGGTAGCTTTGAATGTAGGGGTAAGGTATACTAGAAAATTATTATGGATACACGAAGCGCTTTTGGCGGTTCATGATGTTCCCCGATGAATGAACTTGAGCAGTGATATCCATCGACCCTTGCAGTTCTCAATCGTCTAACATTAACACTGAGCGCTTCAAATGAGGGATGAAACTTGTGCCAAACAAGCAGATGTCATACAGGTGTCCTCCAGGTTGTTCCTCCTGAATAGGGACTTCCCTACTAAAAGGGGGATCTTGTCTCAGTCCCGCAAACTTTGCCGTTGGATCGATGGGCAAAAGGCCCTCTTAATCTCCAAAAGAGAACACTTTTTTCAGGCATCGGAAAGTGTGAATACTTTTGGTGTATAAGTTGTTTTTTTATCTATAATAAACCAGGATGTTAAAAAGTCAACTTTATTGTTTATCTCTTCTGAGCACTCTCGATACCAAACAATGCGCTTGGCATCTAAACTTTCCGCGGGAAGTGCTGACCTCTTTTGTGTATAATACGACAAATCATGATATGTATCGTGGTTCATTAGCCCAAAGGCTGTTAACCTCGTGAACACTACGAACATTTAAAGTAGTTGTGAGTTTAGTCATCGACCGCAAGCTCAGCTGTTCGGCTGGCATGTCAGCTGACAAACCCAAGCCTTTGCAAGGTCACTCAATGAAAAAGAAGTGTTTCTGTTCCTCAAAGATGAAATGAAAGTCGTCCGCTTCGGTTGATAAGACGCCGCATCTCACTGTCAGTGTGTTAACGATTAGCAGTCTAAAGTTTACACTGTCTTCGCAAATTAATGGAGCCACAATAGGTTCCATTTGTTGCCTTCTGAGGTACTTTCTGGATCATGGGCGTCTGCTTAAACCCTTGAGCCACACTGGTAGACGTAGAGTGGAGTGGTTTTTGACTCCAACTTTCCCACCGTACCCCACATCTTTGATCCTTTTTTAAGAGTTTCAAGCAAATAAATCCTGTCTAACTAGGCTGTACCATAAACCAAGAACTCCATTGTGAGACCGATCATCTGAAAAATACCAACATGACGCCGTAGACTAGTTCCGTCCACTTCGTCGGCTTACACGACCATAAGATGAATTCCGTTCGGCAACGATTGACCGACATACCGAAGTTGTTTTATCGGGGACTTTACATCCTACAATTTACACCCATCCAACCGCGCTGCGGTATGCTTCCCCCAAATCGTAATAAAACGTATGCATGCCCATTGTTTAGCTTAGCAAACAGCTCAACAGCCACCAGATTTACATTTTACCACATCATCGCTGATACTGATGATCGGTTCGAGGACGACCAGTCAAACAACTCAAAGGGAGATAGAACAAGACACAGTGGACTCATTGCAGAACGAGGGATGCGCAGCAGAGTACATTGAATAAGTTCCACAGACAACTTAGTGTATTTAGCTAACTGAACTACCCAAGTTGTTGGTAATTGATCAGGTGGCTGTCGATCTGTTCGCCGAGCTTGGCAACCGGTTTGCAAACGTTTCGTCACCATTCGAGGAGACATCTTCAGTGCGCTGTTGGTTGGGTAGTTCCTCTCTTCGTGCCTGCGTTTATATAGTCTACAAAGAGCAGCCTTTGCGCTGTAACCTGGATTCTGATTGGTCCGTTCTCGGTCTGTATTGCGTCGTGGTCGGCTTCTCTGTTGGTTTGTGGCGTGCCTCCTATTTTTCATAGCTTGCTGTTCTATTAATTTCTTCTTTGAACCCTTGTTCGGCCTCGGGTTGTGTGGTTCTGGATTTCCTTTGTCCTCAGAGGCTGATAGGCAGGATCAATCTCAATGCACCAACAGCAAGCTACTAAAAATAGGAGGCACGCCACAAACCAACAGAGAAGCCGACCACGACGCAATACAGATCAAGAACGGGCCAATCGGAATCCAGGTTACAGCGCAAAGGCTGCTCTTTGTAGACTATATAAACGCAGGCACGAAGAGAGGAACTACCCAACCAACAGCGCACTGAAGATGTCTCCTCGAATGGTGACGAAACGTTTGCAAACCGGTTGCCAAGCTCGGCGAACAGATCGACAGCCACCTGATCAATTACCAACAACTTGGGTAGTTCAGTTAGCTAAATACACTCAGCCGCAAACTAATTTGGTTTTTCGAGAGACTCGCCTGGAACCCAGCTAAATCCCTCGTCTGTGATGTTTCTAGGCAACTGAATGTGCTGCACCAGGCCGCCTCATGTTTCAGTCGCCAAGATGTTCGAGATATCGCAGTACATGCATATTTGTAATGCACCTGCTTATAAGGTCGTGGGCTGTCGGTAAATTTTTAGCAACCTTATGAGTAGTGCATTACGAATATATAGGGTTTTTCAACCCCAAGCAACATTCCATTTCAAACGTAATCTCATAGGGAGGTAAACGAACAAACAGGCCCCTCAAAAATGAATGTCTGAATTAGGGTTCACCTGGTTAACACATAAAACCGGCCTCCGTCCCAATGGGGACCCCGTCGAGGAAGGGATCAGGTCTCACGGGTAATTCCTCTTAGGGAAACTAATCTAATCGGGCTGTTGAGAC